TTTAGCGGTCAATTTAATTGCAAAGTTCAATGAGGGAAAAATAAAGTTGACGTGCGCATTTCTCGGTCACGCCGTTATGGTTAAATACAAAGGCGAGGCAAACGTCGAGTCAACGAGTTACTTCGTCGAGAATCGTGTAGGAGTTCATAGGGAATTGTTGGATGAACTGGAAAATTGCTCACGCCTACGACTTCGGAATGAGAGTTGTCATAAATCTTTATGGATCATTTTGTCAATTTTTTTTTTTTTTTTTTAACATAACTTTTCTTCCACGATTTATCGTCCATCATAATTTTCTAATCTTATTTACCAACATCACAAGAATATTACATATATTATTCGAATCGTAATATCTCTCATCTTGTTGAATTTTCATTTAAGTGTTCTCTGTATTATACTTGCCATTATATAGGATTTGTAACAGAGCAAGGCGCCTGAAATCCTGCAACCCAATCTTCACTTAGGAACTCTGGTTGACCAGTCACTTTTTTGTTTTCACGATGGAAATATTCCCATTAATTTTGTCAACTTTTCTTGTTTCTTTTTCTCTAGAAGATTAGAATCCTTATCTTTTTTTTTTTTTTAGTATCTTTTTAATGCAATACATCTCAATGATGTTCATGATAAGATTTCATTTTAATGGATTATTAATGGTATAGAATTTCTAGTCTAATATTAACTCACATTAGAAATGACGAGTGGTGATAAAGATGGAAAAAAAATACAGGAATTTAAGTACTTTCCGTTTATTTTTCTTTCTTTCTTTCTGTTTCTGCCTGTTTCTCGATGAACGCATTTATGGATTCTATGCTCGAGGCTGAAGTTAATCATTGAGAGTTAAGTTAATCATGACGTTTTCGTCGTTAACGTAAAAGTATATCTGCGTGCATGCATACCCTGAGGATCTACGATCTTCTTCCGAGTTCATGAGAAAATTCGAAAGGTTTCTTCCACATTAACTTCTACATTCATCGAATATTAATAGTAACGGTGTAACACTTTATTACATTAAAAATTAACGATAAATATTACTTCAATATCTGGTACTAGCTTTTCCCTTACGGTTCTTAGCAGTTTTTATTTTTTATTTTTTCAAAGAATTTTTTTTTTTAAATCGTTTGAGCTTTTTGTAATTCGATGAAACAGACAGAAACAAAGTTTTTTTTCTTTTTTAATATATTACATAACATTTATACTAATTTCTTATTAATAATTTTACTATGATCCAATATAAATATTGTGTATTAATTGCAATAATAGAAATTTCTGTATTTGAATCATCAAAATTAATTTAAACCGAACAGATATAATTTTCTTTAATTATAGTAAAAAAAAAAAATTGTCAAAAAAATGATTTGTAGAACTTTCTAATTAAAAAAAATTTTTTTTTTTAGAAATATCGTGAGTTTGTTTATTCGAATGTCCTCGACATCGTTGTTAATAGAAGTGGGTGGTGGTTCGTCATCGAGTCGAGTTAGCACATAAGCGGATTTAACGCTGGCCCACAAAGCTCGCACGCGCGTATGCACGCGAGCTCACGTATCGCATTTCACGTCGTGCATCGTATGCGCCTCGCATACCTTTGCCCACGCACGTGAGTCAATGCGTGCCGACGACTGCGGTCATAGGATGACGCCAAAACGAACCAATGATCAAAGGGTTGAAAGAAAGACAGACAAATATTTTTCTTCTTTCATTAGTCGTTCACGATTATCGTCACGTTTGACAACTATTTGTGCTGTTACGTTCCTCGACTCTCATTTCTGTCATGCAACTTTCATCTTTTTATCTTTCATATTTATTTCAGTTCTTTTTTTTTTACAACACATACACACACACACACACACACACAAACGTTTCTCGTCAAATCGAAAATTAATCAAAGGTAAATTTGCATTTTCGTTGTAATTGAAAAGAATTTTTTCAACGTTTATTGTTTCACTCGTTAATATTTTTAATTAATTTTTTTGTTCTTTACCTTACGACTTCAATTACTTAATTTCTTAATATTACCTATAAATCAATTTTTTTGTAATATCTTGGATAAATATTATTAAAGTACTATTGTAAATTATTATTACTGTCACTGCAATGATTCTTATGAAGTACAAAGGGTTGATCATTTATTATTTAATTTATTAATTTAATTATTTAATTTTTTTTTCCTTTTTTATGTCAACTTATTATATTATTTATTATTTGTTAATTTAGTTTGGATTTAATGAACACTTTTTCTATTAAAGTAACAGACACGTTTTACTATACATTCTCGAACGATATGAGAATGATCGTTCGTAGTACACTTATAGACATACTCATAAGCATTTAACTAATTGATCGCGTCGAAACAAAATTGTAAATTGGTTTTGGCCTCGTAACGAAGCTGTCCCGAGTTCCTTCGTATTATTATTACAGAGTAATTTATCTCTCGACGGTCATTAGCCAGGACGTTAATGATTATTCGAACCGGTGTTGATGCACAACGCTCGATTATCTTCCTTCTATTTGCTTGAACCTTTTTACTTTCTTTATTTTTTCTTTCATATTTATAAAAGAATTTACCAAGGTTGTATACCATTTTGTTATACAATTGAAATTTATTAAATTCTTTAAATTAAAAATATTTCTTAAGCTAAATTGTTTTATCGCCTTATGCAACAGTGAATTCAATTTTAGAAAATTTATTTCTACGAAGTGAAAAACATTAGAAAAATTGCATGATTTATGCATTACACTTTGTAAAGATGATTACACGATTAAAACGATTTATGATAATAAAAAAACAAATTGATTATAAAACATTGTAAATAAAAACGAAGAAACTGTTGACCTGTGATGATCATTAATGCGTCATAAATACAAGCATTGGCGAATGACGTCTAATTTTAAAGGATGACTGTGAAAAAGAGAAGAGCATAAAAAAAAAAAAGAGGAGAGGCAGAGAATGAGTGGGTGAGGTAAAAAAGAAACTGGTAATGTTCGCGGATATTAATTCGCGCTACACGGATTTTTTCTATTTTCATTGACGTAATGTGAGTCAGAGGAGCGTAAATGACTTCAGTGGACAACCATTCACCTCGAATTTCATTCAGGTGAGTGCGTCATAGACGACCTTTAGACGACATTCTCGAAATTACGCTCGTACGATCAACGAAGACGAAACAAAAGATCGGATAACTTAGTTTTCTAAGTCTAATTATAGATTTTTCGAAATTCCTTATTTATCATTTTGATGAGAATTCAAAAACAAAAAAAGATTTGTTTAATTATTAATTTTCTAGTCAAAATATTATTAGAATTATTTGAAATAATTGAATACTATTGTTTTTCAAACATTGCTTTGTACATTTTCTTATAGTTGAGTTAAGGAATTTTGAGATTGGTTTTTTTTTTTTTTTTTATCAAGTAACTTTTCTTGCTGATAGTACGATAAATTATAGATAATTAAATATAATATTGAATAATTTAGAAATTTTTATTAGATATTCGTTTTCTTATTTAGCTCGTAATAGAACAAAGTCGTGGACCTCTTAGGCGTTGTATAAAGCATATTTAAGATCTGTGAAAGGATATTAACTCCCACGGTTTAAAAGTCGCCCAGTCAACACGACTAAACCATTGCTCCCACATCCTTCGTGTCGAGATTGGAAAGATGAAATGAGATTGTAAAGATCACGGTCAGAACGACAAAGGACGATAAAGGACGTATGCTAAGGAGAACGTTAGAAGAGAATATATGAGGATAAAGGAATAAATATGCGAACAGAGGAATAAATATGGTAACAAACCAGTTTTTATTATCGATTAAAATCTGATTAGAAACTAAGCTTAGAAAAATGTATGAATATTTCAATAGTTATCTATGATTAATTGTAAATATTATTTATTTATTTATTATTATATTTAAGTTTATATTTCGTCTTATTTACTCAAAGCTCAATTAATTATTACTCTTGGTTAATATACAATTTCTTTTGTATATTTATTTTTACATTATGCAATATCTCTATTAATAAAAATATACGAATTTTATTTCATATAAAACATAAAAAAACTTTCTATGCAACATATGGTTATTTTATTTATTATTTGAAATCCTGTGCTGCAAAGAGTTAACAAAAAAAGAAAAAAAAAAAAAAAGAAAAAGAAAATTATCTCACAATAACGATTTATTTTTAAATGAAAGAAAATGTTTTCTTCATATGAGTTTATATATGTGGTAGTTGATGGATGGTATTCGGATGCGTTTGATAAATTTGGTATTTGTCGTCGAGAGCGTATCATTTGTGTTCTTACGTAAACAGGTGGAAAGGACTGTTCTTCTTATAACATTTTGTCGTCGTCTTCTTCTTCTTCTTCTTCTTCTTCATCTTTGTCGTCGGTCCATCTAACATAAGTTACGTAGTGTAAAATCATACACAGGTGGTATGTGTGTGTGTTGGGACGATCTTTTACGAGCTGTCTCCTGTCTTCTTCTTCTTCTTCTTCTTCTTCCACCTCTTTTACTTTTTCTTCCCTAAGATTTTTTTCCTTCCACTTTGTCCTTCCTCGCCATACGCGAGATTCGTTTCATAATCGTTTTGAGGTATCCAAGTGTTGTTAAACTATTTCTTTTTGGTTTCTCTTTGGTAGCGTTAGCGGTGTCGGTGGTGTAAAAGCACCGCCGCCGCCCCTTTTTTGCCAAGTTGTTCCTTCTCGGTGGAGTTTTCGCTCGAGGCGTTTCCAGGATCCTCATGAGAAAGTTTTGTCGTATTTCTCTTTATAGATTCGCCTTTATTTCGCTTTATCGTGGTTGAAAATGCCGCTACCATTTTACGTTTGAAAAAATACTATCCTAGATCTCATTTATTATTTCCATTCTCTTTAATAAATATAGAAATAGGCGAGGCAAAACTAATGAAAAACGTAGAAAAACCATAAGACGTTAAAGACCAGTCTTTATTTTTTTCTTTGCATATTAATTCGTTGCAATCAGGTTTTTTGTACTTTCAATAACGAAGTCATACATTAAGCATTGAGAACAATTTTCTTTCTAGAATTTTCCGTATATTTAAAAAAATAATAATGTGACAGACTAAGAAAAGAAATAAAGTAATGTATTGAAGGCATTCCAAGTGTTAAAATAGTTCTGATGCAAAGCACGAATTAATTTATTACTATTTACTATTCATATTTTATCTTTTATACATACATGAATATAAGTTTTACCATATATTTTACATACATTTTTTAATAACACTAAAATAAATCAAATTACGACATTCATTAAAACAATAATAATAAAATAAATAAATTTACATAATTTYAACTTTGATAAAAAAAATAATATATAATCGTGATAAAAATACTAGCAAAAAAAAATTTAAATGTCTGATGAATCCAGTATAGCCTAAAAAATATAAAAAATTATAAGAATTATTTGAAAGAAATTTTAAATAATAGCTTTATAATTAAAAAACGAAAAAAGGATAAATACCTTCTCCACTTTTTACGAGCTTTTGGTACAGTTTCCATGGGATCCTTTAAGAGGTATAATCTTATACCTAATAGAAATGTTTTAAAATAAGTATCCCAAACAACGTCTTTCATATCGCAATAGAATAATTCTCGATCTTCGTTTTGTAATTTACTAAATGCATCTATCCATCTTTTATTTTTAATCTTCCATTCTTTTAAACAAAAATAACTAAGTACTTCTAACATTTTGTGTAATCTAATATACATTCTAACAAACCTAAAATAAGCAAAAAAAAAAATTAAATTAATGAGATATATTGAAATTTCTTTGGGAAATCTGTGTTCTTATAAAAAGAGAATGTTAGTAATAATTATACTTTGGCTTTTTGGCGCAGCATAACATTCCAAAATCTAATATGGTAGCTGGTAGATAATGTAGAAAATATACATAGAAAAGATGA